TTCTTGGCATCTGCTCAAATTTTGCTCTTAAAGAAACTTTTTATCTTCTTTTTCCCCCACTGTAGCGGCTTTACGAAGACCTAGGTGACGGGAACCCATACGCCGTGTCTCGGCAGAGCAGCATGTACGCTCAGCGGCCTCAGAACAACCCCTACGGAACACGGTTCCATTAATGCAGAATCACAGAGATTGACCCTGCAGTGAAACACAGATGTACTCGTTTTTGTTGTTCAGAATTTTTACTCCAAATACCGGGCACCGTTCATTTCCCTTTAGACTGGGAGTTGTATCAATAGAAGCACGACATGGATATTATTGTACCACATGTACTTTCACCACTTTGACTTCTATATTGTTAACTCTATTCCAATTATAAGCTGTCATGGATCAATCCTGTCTATTATTAACTAAATTATTTGAAGTTTGGGATGTGATTTCAATGCTTCTTTGCACTCCATTAACTCATGACAAGCTGAATCCCCAAAATGAGGAACTGCTCAATACCATCTGCCTGCTAACTTATTGTCTCGCTCGTTGATGAATTTCCAAGTTATTATTTTGTAAAATGTTTGTAAAGAGTCAGCTCAGTGTCTGTGAATGAGACGAGTGTTGTCTAATAAATAATTTGAATGTCTTATTCCTCCAAATCGGGGCAAGTTAGGTTTGTCTATATGCAATATTTCAGCATGATTTGTGTAAAATGTTTACTACAATAAAATTGTTTTATGTTCTGTTTTGTATAACTGAGAGTATGTTTTCTTTATTTCCAACCGCTTCCATGACCGACTGATTCTAAGCTGTTATTCAATATGAGTTAAACAACAATGTTTTACCAGTTATGTTTTATATTAGTTTTCCTTTCTCACACAAATCATATGGTATTAAATTCATTTTATATAAAAGTGTAAATACATCTTTGAAATAAACGACTTTCTGTTACTTATCGGATGATTTTTGGATTAATTCTTCCACATGAGGAAAATAATAGCTGAGAGTGCGTTTCAGTTGGCTGGTCTGTGTGTTCTAGCTGATGTGTATGTTACAGTGATGATCAAATCCTTTTAATTCTGATACTGTATATTTGTATGTCATTGCATTTGAGTGCATAAAGGCAAACACAATGATACAATACTTCATTTCAACTAATGAACAACTCATCTATATTAACATATTATTATCATGATATATGCTGTTGTCATTATTAATAACTTCTTCCGTTGAGTCAGATTCTTTCCCCTGTACGATCTGTGCAGATGTTGTTTTTGGTGCTGCCACTGGAGGGCGTTGAAGTTTTGCTGACAAACATTTCTAAAGCAGTTCAACCACTAAAAGCAATTCTGTCAAGTAAATAACTAGAATTTGACATTGTAATCAAGAAATAATAATGTGCTTTCTATTTTTTCTGTTGTTTTTATTTTTTTTAAAGAGTAAATTTGAAAATTCATGGATTACAAAATTTTTTAGATTTTAGCATTAAATATATCATTTTGGTTAAAAAAGCGTCCACATACTGGTGTACTAACCATTACAGAAACATAAAAAATGCTTTAGGTAATTACTAGTGCTGTCAATTTAGGACAGCCATGGCATAAACCAT